TTGGTTTGCATGCAAGTGTTGCTGTAAGATTCTAATATCCATGATAGTTGTTAAATATTTTTGTTTGATTCTTTTCTATCAGGGATAAGTATTGAAAAATGAGTTTATTCTTTTAACCATGACAGCAATTTTAATGATTACTTTAACCTTTTTCTATCATGATTAACTCTTCTTGTGAATCAAATTTCTTTTATGACCATGGTAGCCTTTCAAATATTTTACTATGTTTCTTTTCTACCGTTGTTAATATTATAATAAGTTATGCATTCAAAGGCTAGTAATAGGTTTAGAAGAACTGTTGTTATAGGAAGAGTCTCTTGAAACGACCAAGCCGATAGGTGTCAAAACTCCTTCATTAAACACAAAAGAAGATTTTGTAAATCTACTTAACTTGGCACCTCCAACTCATGAGGAGTCTATCACTCAACATGCATTATTGGACTCACTTGTGACTCAAGTGAGTGAGATCTCTAATCTTATTATCATTAGCGATAACAACTCTGCAAGCAACGATCAAGTTGTACACTTGGCACGCATGTAAGTTGTTCTTTCTCAAATTGTAACTAGCAAGAATCAATTTTATCATTTTACAATGCCACCTCATCTAAAAAATATACCTCTTAAGGTCGCCTCCTTTTTGAACGAGTTACTGCAATAGTATCTTGTTTATTGGAAAGGGTTTCCAAATGCTTTCTAAGATCCAACTACTCATTCTATCCAAGGTCTCATCTTCTGGTACCTCACCTATTGGAAGGGATTTGCATATTGAAGCACTATGTAGCACTCTTTATCCCTCTCTTCCTTCCTAGGATTTGTGCATCAATTGTAACTTGTCAAGAGCTGAGTTCTTTAACAGGGGAGAAATGATGGGATATGGGAAGAAATAATTATGATTTTATTATATTTCTAAGATAATTGAATTATTTGGATTTATTATCATTTTAGGACTTGTTTAGATTTATTGGTATTTTTAGTGTTTTAATGATTAGGATTAGTTGTTGTTATTATTTTCATTTTATTATTATTTTAGTACAAGTAAGTTTAGGGTTTTCAGTTGACAACAAACTAGACTTTGAGATATTAAAAGATTGCAGTTACTTTTCTTCATTTTTTTTCTCTTCTGTTCTCTCCTTTTCTCTTATTCATTCCCTTCTCCTTTCTCCTCTATACCATTTATACTTTAACCCTAAATCAAACTAGTTTAAGAACTTTTTTTTTGCAAAACAAACTAGTGAAGAACTATGAAGTTAATCAAAACCAAAGTAGGGCCAAATCATTCATATGAGTTTTGGAAGTTATCTTTATAATCAGTTTTTTAGGGGAGAAAATGGTTTACTTTATCCAAAGAAAAAAATGAAAATAAAAGGCAGCAATTAAAACAAAGGCCAGGCCAATCCCATCTTGTCATCTACATGTGAAGTAGTAAAAAGAAGGCGGAAAATTATCCTAATTTTATATATTGTGCATTTAATATCTCGACCTTTTTTTAGTAGTTTCAGTACCCTAATTTTATTTATAATACATCAAGTATCTAAGAAAATAATATGAGAATGCTTGATATATTCCTAACAAAATGAAATAAAATGTATGATACATCTTAAATAAGATTAGGATGTTAAATACTACTTTACCCAAGATAATATTTACTACATTTCATGAAAAGGGCTGCCAACAAATTCACTATACCTAAGAAATTAGGGTTTATTTAGACTTTCCTTTGTTCAGGACAATACTAGGATGTCCCAATATATATGAAGAATAATTTGGAGACATATGGCTCGTTTGGCTTATCCTAGATTTTTTTTCGCTTTTTAAAAAATAAATATTACTCCCTATTCTTAATATAAGATCCACTTGACTAATTTGGATAAATTAATAAAATTAGTAAAATGAGTTATTTGTTTAAAATGTGTATTAGTTTCCCAAAACACCTTCTTAAATCATTTATATTAAAATTATCTTTTGATGCAAATTTTCTTAACAATGTGAAAAATAGTAATTTTGACTAAAATAATCATTTACATTAAAATAAGTTTCCTATTGATGCAATCAATAGGGATGGTTTGAAAAAACAAATGATAAGTGTGAAAAACAAAATGAATTGAAATCTTATATTTAAGATTAAACTTTACATGAAGAGCGGAGGTAATATTAATTTTGACTAAGTAAAGATTAAAACTCAACTTGTGAACACACAACTTTTTTTGCAAAAAAAGAGAGAGCATTATGGTACAAACTTTATATAAATTGTGTAATTCAAGTTTAAGGAATAATATATGGTTAAACTCATAAATTACAAACTCACCCAAGAATAAAACCATATTCAATAACGTCGCCAAAAATATTTAAAAGTTAAATAAGATGGATTTATTCAAGCTTATTTGGGATGTGGTAAAAGCCACTATTTTTTTTCCGCCAGCTTATTCAGGCTAACTCCTTTTTTTTATTTTTATGCAGACATAAAATCAATTCTTGTTACAGAGTAAAAGCAACAACAGTATCATCACAATAGCCAACTCAAATACCTAACCGCATAGAAAGGTACGTTGTTAAATGCACGAATCAAAAAACAGAAACATCAAAGAAATCAAGAAGCACAAGACATAAACCAAAGTTCCCCACTTCTCATATCATCTACCAGGATTATATTTAAAAGAAAAGGGGCTGTAACACCCAATCTTTTGCGTGCTTTCCAATAAGAGTTGCACAAGGCACACAAGGATGCGATTATATTACTTCTTGGTATCCATTGAAAGTAAATAAAGTCAAGAGTTTTGCCAAGATTTACAAATTTCTCCACTAAGCTCGAGAACTCCCAAGAAAAGTCAATGTAAAGTCATATTTTCATTGTGGCTGTTGAAAGTTTCAACAGCGACTTCTAGCATCGTCTCTGAAAGTTGGTTTTTTGAGTGAGTTGTTGATAGATATTAATGGTTTAAACTCTTCTACTATCACTTAACATATTTATATTAAAAAGAAATAATTTGCCAAAACAAAAAAAAAAGTTAATTTAAAACATCGATTGACCATTAACAAAAGAGTTGGAGGAATGAAAATGATTTTTTTAAAATAAATAATCTTTTTTTATAGCAGAAATAAATAATCTGTATAATGTACTCTTAGTAATTGGAAGTAAGATGTGGAAGGTACAATGGGATAGTATATCCATAGAAGAATCGGATCTTTTTAATGGTAAAAAATAGATTTACTTAAGGAAATAATAAAAAATACTTGTTGAGTTTCAAAAAATAAATAAATCATGTAGACTATTATTTTTGTCATAATTTTGACATGTCAAAATATATCAAAATTATCTATTTGTTATTTTAAAATTCAACCAGTATTTTTTTGTTATTTTTCTATTCACTTAAATGTTGGATTGGATAATAATGAAAACCGAATCAATCATTAACAAAACTATTTTATTATATAAAACAAATAAAATATTCAGATATAAGCTAGAAATAGTCTAATAAAGTTAAATTAATAAAAAATAGATTTAATAAATTATTACTTTTTAAGTCAAAATGTATCACTTTTGATTTAACAGGCATGAAAAGAAATTGTAAAATCAAACTCAGTTAAAAATTAAAAACTCTAGCCACCTGCAAGATTGGATCACTTCTTGTTTGCTGAAAGCCTGAAACTTGGGTTTGCATTTTCAGATGATGATAATTTCAGTCAAAAGGAATCAGATTGCGTGAAGGATGGAAGAGCCGGCAAATCGCAGGAGATACGGTGATAGCATCCAGAGGTGGGCCTAAGCTGACAACAGGCCCCTCTGTTCCTATCTATTTATATTGTTTGCGTGAGAGGTGTGGGAACTCTGAAACCCTTCTTCCATAAATGTCTGTATCTGACTTCACAGTTCACACTCAGATATACACATTAATCAACCTCTTTCAATCCTGATTACACGAAACTATCTATCAGCATAAAAAACAAAGCACGCCTACCTACTACAAAACAAACTCAAACGCTCCGTTGCCAAAAGCTAAACCAAAAAAAAAAATGAAAAAGAAAGGGAAAAAAACCACAAAAAGAAGACCAGTGAAGTATAAGACATAAGTTGGCCAACTTGGATTTGAATCCTGAGTTCATTTATTTCTTCTTGATGTTTGCATCAATCCCTCTGTTTCAAGAAGAAATGAAACTTTTGATTGATAAAAATATATACAACCTATGTGTTTATTTATTTACTTATTTACCTATGGCCGATACATTTAACAAAAACTTGGCACAGAAAGTAGAGAGATAGATACAGGCAAAGAAGTAATCATCAATGTCATGTATAACTCAGTCACTCACATTATCAAAAGTGATGCACACCCTTCTATATTTCTACTTGAGCTTGAGTACTACAAATTTTATAGGTTGAGATCGAGGTTTTAAGGGGGGGAAAAAGGAAAATTATAGTTGAGATAAGAACCTCATTAGTAAATAATTTTGTAATTTTTGACTGGCCTTATGAATAGTACTCTTTTAACTTCATAATGACAAAAGGAGAGTGACATCTGGATACACACAAGAAAATTATCGAATACTCTTCACCAATTTTAAAAGAGTAGTTATTAATATGAATAACATAGCTGGGTTTTTTTAAAAACAAATTAATCCTCCTAAATTATTGTGTTTTTCAAGATATCAAATGTCAATCATTTTTTTAATCATGCATCGAAAGCTCTTTCAAAATAAACAGGAGACATCTCCCCCACCCCCAAGAAAAAAAAAAAAAAAACCAGACATCTCCCCTTGCTCTCACACTCTTTCCTCCGGCGCCATGTTCAACGCACTCCTTCCAGGCAAAACCATTAAACGAAGTGAAAAGAAAGAGGGTGGGGAAAACTATTTAAAAAGCCTCATTTTTTTTAATTTTTTTCAATCTCTGTTTCTTTCTCTTATCCCCTTATAAAACCCAAAACTCAATCCCTCACTCAAACCGCGCTTTCTCAGTTGCTTCATTCTAAGCCCTCTCTAGCTTTTTCTTCGTTTCCTTTTCTTCCTCCATGGATGCTCTCAACTTCCTCAAGTTCTGGAAGCATCTCACAGTTACAAGTACTGGTATTTCTCACATAGTTCTGGAAGAAGCAGAATATGGGTCCGACGATGAGGACTCCTTTTTTGACTTGGAATTCGCTGTTCATGATTTCGACAACAATGAAAACAACAGTACCAACAAAATCATCGGCAGCCCAGAAGACCAAACCATGCGAGAAAGGGAAGGGCTTCTTGTCTCTATTGAAGAAGATCGATTTGCTTGCAAAATAGCAGAGATTAATGGCGACGGTGAAGTTGATGTTTCCAGATCAGCAATTCCTCTGTCTGCTAGTGAATCAATTTCCAAGAGGAAAATCCACCCAATAGAGCCTATTTCTAAGCCCCAGTCTCCCATTTCTCTTCTCAGATCATCAGCTCCGAGCTTCAGAATTTCCATGTTCAGGAAGCCTAGGGAGAAAGAAACTATGAATTTTCCCGGGAAACTGAACATGGAAGATTCCTGTCAGAATTCTCCGTCGTTGAGCAGAGCCAACAGCTCTAGAAGCCACGGGAATAAAACGAAACCTGAGCGATTCTCAAAGGATGTTTTGCGAAAGTATATGAAACTGATCAAACCTCTGTATACAAAAGTTTCGAGAAAGTACAATGACAAAATGAAGTTTTCGGATGAGGTATCCACAGCTTCACCGATGTTATCTCCGTTGGCCTCCTCTGTTTCATCTTTCTCGAGGAAGGAGAAACAGGGAAATATTCCGACGGGTATCCGGGTAGTGCGTAAGCATCTGGGTAAGAATAAGTCGGCGTCGTCGGTGATCGGAGCAGCGTCTCCGGCGAAGAGGAGTGATGATTCGTTGTGGGAGCAGCATGATGGGATCCAAAGCGCCATTCTACACTGCAAGAGATCTTTCAATGCCAGAGGTGAATATCTCATTAACGATAAACTTTTGATCTGGATCATCCTTTAACTTAACAGATGATTAATAGTGAATGTTTTGGTTTCAGATTCTTCGTCCATGGAGAATGACGGGTCAAACATGTGAAGGACCGTTTCTGGGATGTTGAGAGGGAAGTAAAAAAAGTTGTTGAAGGTGATGATGGCAAGAAAAAGAAGCAATGGAGGAGAGAAATTTGGAAAATGAATAGAGAAGAAGATAATCAATCAATCTTTTGATTGTGTTTTCTTCTTTTTTGTAAGGAGAGAGGAGACTAGTGGGTGGTGTTAATGATGTTTACTTGTTTAGTAACTATGATTTAGCAGCTGTAGATTGAAGAGGCTCCCCTGCTAATCAGTGTGGAAGTACTGTGTAAATGGAAGTATGTGTCATTATTAAAAATGAATCGAAAGTGCCCTCTGATTGGGGATCTTTAATGTATCTTTGTCGGAGTTTGAACTCTCACAACTTGAATTTGACCTTACTCTTTGAAGCATTCTACTGTCAAGGATAGGAACTTGAGAGGATAGAATGCCAACACCTGGTAAGAACGGGAAAAAGCATATTGAATCTTAAATAAATTATTTAATGTTACTTTTTTAGTGGTACTACCTCCGGTTTTAATTATAAGAGCCAGTTGACTAATTTGAGGAGATCAAAGAAGTAAGTTGAGCTAGTTATTTGTCCTAAATGAGTGTTGTCTTTCCTAAAATATCCTTGTTAATCAAGTGTATTGACTAGAACTCTTATTATTAGAAGGGTTACTTTGAAAAAAAATGTATAAATATAAAAGATAAAGTGGATTGAGGTCTTATATTTATGATCAAAATAAAAATCAAATAGGGTCTTATATTAAGGATAGAAGGTAGTATTAGTTTTTATGATTTTGTTTTAGCATTTTTAGTCTCTAAATTCCTTTCTCCTTACAAGCTTATAGGGTGAAATTTTAAGAAGACAATAGTCTGTCTTTTTTTGGTTTCCTAAAAAAAAATTTAGTAAAAAAGTCTTGTATAAAAATTTAATTGACAGTGAGTGCAACTATAATTAGTGACATCACTCACATATCTTCTGCTATTACTCATATATGTTTTGTTATGTGCCACATATCATTAATGATATGCAACAATCATTAATATGAAAATAATTTGCACACAATAGAAGATATTTTGCACACAAAGAAGATATGTTGTACTCAAGGATCATACTTACACACGTTTAAATTTATATCTTTTTTAGTTAATTAAATTTTTAAACAGTTTTTTAACCAATTTTTCCTTTCTAAAATCAGTTTGACTGTGCAAACCCTATTAACTTATTTTATCTTCAGCATAGGTTAGAGGAGCCATATCTGATATATTTCGCATCAGCTGTTACTTGGTCGCACAGTATTTTTTGTCAGGAAAGAATCAAACTCCCGGTCTTATATTTAAGAATCGCCCTAGATCATGCGCGAATGTCATTGAGTCATCATAAGGCCATTCGTTTATCTTATTACTCAATCTCGTCTTGTTCGGCTAGGCAAAATGTGTATTATTTTGGGAAAATTGGTTTAAAATTTCCATTTGACAAATAAATTAAAGAATAAGGCCTATAATAAATATAAAAGTGTGGGCCCTCGGGTATCAATAAGTCTAATAAGAAAAAGATCATATTATCCTCACAAATGCTAATTACACATAATAAATTTTTACTTGCAAGTGATATTTGATCACTTGTATATAACAGGTGCCTACTTGCATATAAATATTAATTACATATAACGATTGCCTACTTACATGCAAACTTTATTGTGTAATATGAATGTTCACTTGCACATGACAGATTTCTACATGCATATAAGTTTGTATTGCATGTTATTGCATAATAAGAATGACAATTATATATAGTAGATGCTCACTTGCATATGAAGGATGCCTACTTGCATGTGGGATGCTAATTAAATATGCAAGTAAGTATTCGTCATAATATTCATCATATGCAAGTGAGATTATGTCCTATTGTCACCTTAGAAAATGATTTTTCTTTATAGATATTTTTCTATTTGAGATATTGTTAGGTACTAAATGTAAATATTTTTTTTTAACTAGAATTCAAACCTTAGTTCGCTATGATGTTAATAACTAATCTTTTTCACTAGAGTCAACCACCACTAAAAAAATGATGTTAATATTCTGTTATAATCTTTTATCCAGCCACTCATTCTACCAATTAACATAGATGTTGTAATTTTTTTATTTTATATAATTGATTTTTTATCAAAAAAAATGGCCACTGGCCTTTTGATTAGTTACTTGCCAATTAGTCATTCGACAGATGTGTTAAATACCATTAATAATATGAAAGCTGTTGAAGATTGTCAAGTGTTAAATACCATTAGTATCATGAAAACTCTAGAGGATCGTCCATCCAATAGGGCTTGTAAAAACAATTATATGGCAAAAATTTATGTGGGATCTGCAGTGAAGAATGATATGCTTGGAACTCGCAATGAAATGATAAATTTAACCGTTAAAAGTATGTGCGGGATCTGCAGTAGTGAAAATAGTATTTGGTGATTATATAATGCGTATCCGCGGTGAAAAAAGGGTGTAGGATGGAATAATAAATTTAATTATTCAATATTAATATAATATTAATATCAACATTCAATATATATACTACCTCCGGTCCTTAATACTCGTATAAGACTATGTTTGACTTTTATTTTGATCCTAAATATAAGACCCCAATTCACTTTGTCTCTCATATTTACTCAATTTTTTTCCAGATAGTCCTTCTAATGATTATAATTCTAGTTAATACACTTGACTAGCAAAGATATTTTAGGAAAGACAACACCTATTTAGGACAAATAACTAACTCAACTTACTTCCTTAATCTCCTCAAATTAGTCAACTAGCTTTTATAATTAAGACCAAAGGTAGTATATATATAATAGAGTATTATGCAAAATCATTTTAGATGAATAGTTAATCAAATAATCCATTTTCATTTTTTAATTAATTCTTTTAAGAGTGGGATTCATTTTCTTGAAAAACTATGCAGTAAAGAATTATATGGGACTCGCGGCTAAAAAAGTTTTGTATAGGACCGGCAATAAAGTAATAAATTTAATTTATAAAATTGTATAATAATAAATTATAAAAAATATTTAATACTTATAATTTTATTATATGTACTGTGCCTTTCCTTTTTTGAAAAACTGTTACGCAGTAAAAAATTATGTGGTGCCTGTAGTGAAAAGAGGTATTTGTGAAACTCCCAGTAACATGATAAATTTAGTTTACAAATTTGTAAGATAACGAATTCTAAAATAAAATAATTGGTGCTTATACTTTTAATACGTACGAAGTATTTTAAAAAAAAATTATAGTAAATAATTATGTTAATCTAGCCCATTTTTTAAAAATCCTTTTGTTTAGAAAAAAACCATCTAAGTGAAATTTTATTTTGTCTTTTCTTTGATTTTTTTAATAGCCTTGTTTTTCTAAAAAGAATTATATAGTAAATAATTATGTGAGGCTGAGAAAAATGTGTGTATAGGATCCGCAATAGAATATTAAATTTAACTTCGAAAATTTTAAAATAATGAAATAAAATTTTTATTACTTATATTATGAATAGATCATGGTTTTTTTTTTAATTTTCACAAAACAATGATATAGTAAAAATTTTAAATTGCTAAAATTTTAAAATGTTGTGTTGAATTTGCATAATCCCACTCAAATGGAAGAACACCTAAGTGAAATTTTGAAATTTGGCCAAAGAAAAAGACCCTCACTTAAAAACTCAAAGCACATTTTATCAAAAAAAAAAAAAAAAACTCAAAGCACATGAAGAATTAAAAATCTACGTTCTGTATTAGCTTAGTTAAAAGCAACTCAAAAATTAAATTTCAATAAATTGAAAATTGAATTAATAAAATACTATTTTTGATCCTAAGTATGAGATCTAGTTTGTAGAACAAATTGTATTATAAATTAGATCTTATATTTAGAACTGAAGATAATAACATTCTAGCACCATGCCTATCTATTACTACTTTGTAAAAAAAAATTGTTTTTATTTATCTATGATTTTAAAAATGCTAATGGTTAATGTTAATATTTTAATGGTCAACATTATACTTTTAATAGTTGAAGGTGACATTACTATAATTTTAAACTTATGAAATGATATTGAATCTAAGAAAATTTGGGAACACAGTGCTCCTAAGTAAAACTTTTCGAGCCAAATTTACATTTTAATGCTTTTAAAAATTTAATAAAATATCAATTATTATTCTTCCAATCATGCCACTAACTTTGATAGTGAAGAAAATTAATGAGAAGTTAAAATGTCAATTTTATTTTTCAGTCTATATTTACAAACCTTTAAAATAATTTTTTTAAACAAAGAAAAACTAAAGGAATACTTTATTAGGGGGATGCATTTTTATTATTTGATCCTGGAAGTTAATTAGAACTTTTGATGTTCCCTTGAAGCGGAATGTGTCGTATATGATAGATCTTAATATATATAAAGGAGTTTATAAATAAATTACTCTTTCTAATATCATAAGTAAGACATCTTTAAGAAAATATTAGTTCTTTTTACAAAACATTTAATAGTTTTATGGAGTATTGAATATTTTTTTTCTTTTATTTATGTTCCTATATAATAAAAGAAATGACACAGTGTCAAAAGTTAACACGATATTCGTTTGGTATATCAAATAAGAATAATATTGAGAATCACTTGATTTTGTAACAAACTTAACAATCTGAACTGTTTTTATTAACATGTGTGAATTAGTTGAAAATTGTTTACTCCTCTAATCCTAGCTAGTTACAAAATAGAGAGAATATTTTTTTGTTCTATTTATAAATTATATCATAAAATTTTAATATAAATACGATATTTTATTTAATTTCTATTATTATATAAATTGTTATTTTGTTAAAACATTCATATATTAAATAAAATTAAAATTAAATGTTGTTAAATTTTAAAGTAAAATTAATAAGGTTTCAGATTTTTCTTTTCATTTTAATTCTGATAAAAGATGTTGAAAAATAAATAGAATTCGATGAATGTATTTGAGAGAAGAGAGGGCACTCGTATAACATTGATGACCTTCATAAATCTCTATTGTCTTCCTTGTTATTCGTTTGAGAAGCTATTCATATTTTGAGAACTCATCTCCGTCTATGTCATTGTCTTATTATTCACATAACATTCAATTAGTTGTCATCTGATGAATTGATATCATCACTTTATAACATTCCAATATATTTTAAACCTATTAAAACTCTAAGGACTTATGTTTTAAGACAAATTAAATTTTGAGAACTAAAACCATGTGTTTGAAATTTGATGAATTAGAGCCAAAATACACTCAACTTTTAGGGATAAAAAATTATATTAACCCTAATTTTTTTATTTAATATTCAAAGTTATATTTTTTATTTTGGAGAAAAGAAAAAATAGATATATATTTATAATGTCTTACAATTAAAAAAAAAAAAAGATGGAACTAATGCAGGAATTGGTAAAATGATACAAGAAAGATGAATGTGTAGTGAAAATATCTAGTTTTGAGTAAGCGGAGACTAGAAGCTTGAAGTCTTGCCAAAGTGCAGATCCATTTGAGCACTAGGGTTGGTCTTGTGAAATGTATCTTTTACCAATACATATCAGTTGAAGCTTGTCATGAGAGACCATACTATGAGACCTGTAAGAATGGATCCAAGATGATGCACTTCGCAAGCAAAGAAGAGTGAAAGTTTGAGGATTAGGAAACTTCCTTGCACAAATTTTTTTTTAAGAGAGGTGATCCATCAAAGCATATTATGACAAGGCAAGAAGTCTGCTTGTCTTGCTTCCGCTTTGTTAAAATTACAGACCTGCATAAATTGATGCTCAATAAGAGGGAAGCGTTATGAGTCTTTGGAGAAAAATGATGGTGATTCTCATTACATGAGAATGCTAAAGATGAAAAAGATATTGAGCCCATAATTTCCCGAATGACAGGTTGGGGTGAACCTATTTTCCCATCATGTAGAGCAATATTCCTCTTATGCCATATGAAATTGATGAGTATGATAATGCTTTTTAGCATATCTTCCTGACCATCATTAAGTAGCTGAACAAGTATACCTTTAAGCCAAGATTGAAAATTCTGGAAGTTAAAATCCATCCGCTTAATTGAAAAGCAACCAAACCATGCAGCACTAACATACGGGCAAAGCAAAAAAAAAAAGGTAATCTAAAGATTTTTCAGTGTTACATCCAAAAGGGAACAAAATTTCAACAGGTTGATGTTGTTTGAGAGCGTCACTAGGAATACAGTTTTGTAATAACTTCCTTATCGAAAGGAGCTGCTTATAAGAAAGTGACAATGACCACAAAAATTTCCAAAATGTATCTTGAGTGCCATAGGAAGAACGAGAAGATTGAAGACTTCTCCTAAACCTGTCCTTATCCTTAACTATCACTACAACAAAATATACTATTTACTTCCTTTTGTCTCTTCTGTTTTAAAAAACAGAGGAGAAAAGTAACTTTTCTCATCTAACTTTAAAAATGGATGAGAAAAATAATTGCACTCTTGTTTGTTATGTTTTTTTTTTTTTTAATATTAGTACCCTCAGAATAGATCTCACTTTGGCTCTCTTTTCTTCAAGCTTCTGATACAAGGGAATTAGGGGTAAAAGGGGTAGTTTGGGTAATTTGGGTCATATTAAGTCTACATGTAGGAGTCTTGAGGTTTGTAATAGGCATCGATTGAATACATTTTTGCTGTTTACTCTATTTTCCCTCTTCTCTCTGTGTTTACCTCTAACAAAGGTATCAGAGCCTTTATCCGGTCCATGGCGCCACTGCTAGACATTTGATCCTCTGCACGCATTGATGATTTGGAGCATCAACTTGAGCTCCAGCAAGTCTCCCTTGATGTGATTCACTCATGCTTGGGCCAACATGCCCAGGCTATCAATGATTTGAAATTATCGACGACTAGGTTGGATGAATATCTCCAAGTTATTGTTGCTCGAATCTCCTATCTCTCATCGGATCCAGCCGTTCATTTAGGCGAAGGAGGATCTAGCTTTGTTCTGATCATCAAATCAGATGAGAAAAATGGAGATGAAGCTAGGAACGATTCAAATTTTATGAAATTGTTACAACTGAAACCAAAATAGCTGACGATGATGATATGAACAGAGTGACCAATGAGAGCCAGGACACGGATGCTGGTGCAGAAACAATGGTGGAGTCGAAGGCCAACACAAAAGCTGAGAGAGTTGAAGAAGTTACTCTGATCTCAAAAGTCATACTTTCTGTTGATGACAAGTTGAAGGATCTCAACAATGAGAAATTGGACGAAGCTATGATGGAATCATCTCAACATGACAATGAAGCTACAGTCATGAATGGTAAGACTCAAATCGATGAGGCTAAAGCAAATAAAGTAATACGTGCGAATGACAAGAAGACAGGAACATATCAACAATTGAAAGCACCAATGCCTCTGCTTGGTCGTTCGAGTGATGATGGATTCCATCATTATGAGATCCTCTATCTTCATCGACAACTTTTCCTAGTGAACCAGCTGCTGCATCGGCAGCCTAACCGAGAATGGGAGCTTGCTCTTGGTCAAGATCGCAATGTATTACATAGGCCAAATGTATTATTGTCCAACACTACTGCTGATGCAAAGTTTTTCATCAAAGGTCTGGCTAACACACAGGCTAAACTATTCACTAACGAGCTCATGCGAACTCCAATGCATTCACCAAAGATGTTCACATTATTCTTCAACCGAAAGGGTTTCAATCACAAGGCTGAAAACAAAATGTTGATTACTGACAGTCAAGATCAGTTTATCAAAAATGGAGATGGTCTTGCATCTAGAGTGGGTAGGGGTGTTGCTGAAATCGGGTTGGACCCAACTATTAAAGAGGTTCACAGAATACTAAATTCTGTTAGACTGACAGAGAGTATAGAATTAGGCCTGTTAGAGCTTTGGATTAAGGCAGAGGCGAAAATTATAGAGATTGAAGGAAAGGAACTCTTTGTTTCTATCAAAATCAGGGAAGGTGTGTTTGTGGGTTGGTGCATGACCATGGCTATTGTAGCTAGGGTTTTAGTCGTATTCCTACTCTTCTTAGCCCCTGCATCTGCTTCTATTAGCCTCGGGTTGGATGGTACTATGCATGAAGCTGTTTGTGCTTAAGAAGATGGCCTTCAGGGGTGGCTAATGTTCGTTCCACGTGACAACAATAAGGACTCTATAAAATATGGGCTTAACAAGGGTGTTGTGAGTGCCATATATCTGAATGAGGTTTGGGCCTCCAACCTATTTGGGTCCAAGATCTTTTGGAGGGGTGTGGGGCATCTAGTTCATAAAGCTTCTGCAATAAAGGTCATATGGGCTTACATGGAATCAAACAATAGAGCTTTTGGACTGAAGAAGACTGCAGCATTTATTCGGTTTTGACGTTCATAAATCTATGTTTTATTTTATGCTTTTGAACTGATTCTTGAGGGCAAGGATCTCTTGGCAGGGGGAGTAAATTGATACCTGGGAATTAGGGGTAAAAAGAGTAGTTTGGATAATTTGGGTCATATTGTGCCTGTTTGGATTCACTTAAATTGAGCTTAAAGTCAGCTTAAATTTTAAAATAAGCTGGGTTGCAATGTGGACCTGTTTGGATTCACTTTTTTCCAATTGGGCTTATGTGCCAAAAGCCTGATTCGAACACCCAATTCCATAAGCTAGAGAAAGGAGCTTATGCTTAACCCAGAAGAGCTTTTGGGCGGAAAAAAAAAACGAGAGAAGCTAACATTTGCCCGTTCCTACGCGTAAAACCTGAGGTCCTTTTTTCCTTATAAGGAGACATTCAAGCTATGACTTCTATTTTCAACAAGCTGAAGATGGTAATGTAATTGGCGAACATGATCAGACTGAAGCTAGTCAACCATCACCTTCAAATGTCAATTCACAGTCTTCATCTCATATGAATCGCGTTCGTGATGCAATTAGAGACCAAATTATCCATAGCTTATCAATTAATTAATTATGTAATATTATTATTTCATTTCACTTTGTCGCAATACTACTAATTGGAGTTCAAAACAGTTTTATCCGTTCAAATTATGTTTTGCTTTTATTTGCCTAATATTTTTTATGATTTCTCTAAATTTTTCAATTTTAATTCACTCTAAATTTCACCTCTTCATTATATTATCTCAATTCTTTTTTTTTTTCACACTTTATATTTCAAATATTTTTTGATTTTAAATTTTAATTTCTTCATTTTATTTCTTCATATTATTTTATTTTAATTTTATTGTATTGTCTTAAATCAATTTTTCATCATGTTTCATTATCTATTAAAACTCATGCCCATTTTGGTAATTTTTCAGCCAAAATTACTTTTACTCAACTATAATCCAAACAAGCTTTTTCCAATCTCATTTTTCTAAACTAGCTTGTCTGAATTTCAATCCAAATACAATTCAGCTTATCCAATTTAACTTTTACCAATTTAACTTTTTCATAAGCTACTTTTTCTATAAGCTGTTTTTTCAATCGCTGATCTAAACGGACCCATTAAGGCTATATACAGGAGTCTTGAGATTTGTAATAGGCGACTAGGCGTCGATTGGATACATTTTTGCTGTTTACTCTGTTTTTCCTCTTCTCTCTCTGTTTACCTCTTAACAGCTTCTCTCTTTGGACATTCTTGAAACCCTACCAGACCCCATCGGCCTCCTACTCCAAAAAACTTTCTTGCCACTGACTGAAAAACCCTTCCATGCACCTTCTCTCCTTCACTCTCTTCTCTCCGTACATCATCGAACCATTAGCACTTTCTACACTCTGTCACGGCTTCAGCAGATTTGGTGATATTCCTTCAACGCTGTATCACCTCGAGCTTGTCCGCTGTTACTTCCTCTATTTCCTCCAACGCCGTAAGTTCTTCTTCTCGAATCACTGTACTTCTTCGCCCTTTATTATTTCCTCATTGTTTATCACCATCTACGCCTCAGTCTTCGTCTGCTCTGTTATGTTTGCTCTCTTTTAAGAGTTCTTTGTTGCAGAACGACAAGGATTTGACCATTGAGGTTTTATTGGCTGTACCCGTGTCAAAAGTCCGGGGCGGGGGGCGAAGAGAGACCATAATAATGATTCATTTCGATCAACAAGCGCCCCAAAACAAAGAATCAATGGATTTACTAGTGATTTGTTATTTTGATGTGCTTAGTTCGATTTCCTTTTCAATCTTACTCTAAATTATTGATAATTCCTAAACCAAGTGGTCCTTATGGGTAAAAAAATTTTATTTAATAGTCTGGCTTTGCTTAACTTCCCAAACCTGTAGCTGATCATTCGGTTGAGGCACTTTCCAAGATGCTTTCATTAGCAGTAGTTGAATATCTTGTAAATGAAAACTTAGGCTTGTGCTATATTGAGAGGTTATCTTTTATTCCTCTGCTATTCGTTTTTCTTTTTTTTTATCCATATGTCCTGAAGCACCAGATTTCAGGTTTTGTTGCTTTTGTATGATGTCAATATCAATACTGTCATATATCTCTCGTTTGATTGAGTCTTAATCTTTAGGGTTTGGAATTATTGTCCTGATGGATTTGATGGAATCCTTTCTTCTGTTATATTTTCTTTCATTTTGATAATGGCTATCGGGTTCATTAATTTTGCGGGTTTCAAGGTATGCTATAATATTTCGCTCCATTGGCTTAATGTTCTCGGTTTGCTCTAGATCATTGCACATACGGCATTGCACATGCTATGCTAATTTTTTTTTTTTTTGGTTTCAATCAGCATGTTAAATTTGTTATGATTTAAACTTTTTTTATATTGAGCTTAGGTTATTTTGTTCAATTCATTGCATCTCTAGCTTCTTGAATTTTAATTAGTTGATCATATTTATGGTTCTGTATTATTTCTGTTAGAATGGGATGATCTTACTATGGCTGAAGGCTTAATTGGGTAATTGGAGTTTTATGACGCCAAGAATGGGTTCAAAACAATGAAAGGTAACAAATTTCATATCCTATCTTTTACTCATTTTGAAATTCATTGTCGTCATGGAAGTTTTGCTAATTTCAATACACACCCATTTGAGCACAGATACAAGATGGTTTGTCATTAGACTTGTGTGCATCTCTGATGATCTGCTATGAAGCTCATGCTTTTTTGAAGATGGCATGATTGTTGGAGATCATAAAGGAACCCAAACTAGTCTTATTTAGATCTGAATTCTTCTAGTTACAATTTTGAGTAGAATTTTGTTATGAATTCTTCTCTACTGTGCCACTAAATTTTGTTAGAATTTATTTGCCAAGAATCTCGATTTTTAGCTTCGCATGATTCTTGAAGTCGTGATAATTTTGATAATTGTGCACACTTAAATCACATTGTAGTTACTGGAGATTGACTTTGCTTTTGCCCAGAATTGTGTGAAATTATTTTGCTTGACATTCAACATCATTTGAAAGCATGAGGCAATAAAAAAAAAATTCATTACTACTTTAATTATAACACAAGCATCTTAATCCATGGAAAAGAAACACGTGTGGAGTTTGAAAGTTATGGAAACTAATTATTACTACTTTGACTGTAGACTAAACAAACAATGAAAGAATTAATCTGTGATGGGGGGATGCATTTTTTCTTTGCCATGTTGCATAAATTGAAAACAGTCTTAAATCTTCCTTCCTTTATTGTTTTAGGCTGCTTGGATTGCTATAAGCTAATAACTGATGGGCCTATCTGTTGGTGTGAGCTCATTGACTTGCGGTTCTAATCACTCATCTAGATGATAGCCCATTGACTCTTTCTTTTCTCTCTTTTTTACTTTTCTCCCTTTTTTGTTGTTTGGAGCTTAACTTTAAACTATGCGTAGGTATCAATTCATTACTTCAAGTGTGTTCAACTCAAGAGCATTGATTATATCAATCATATTCTGCAATTGAAGTCAAGTGAGCTTGGGGTATCTTGTCCAAATTTGCTGTGATTTTTTTTTTTTAATGAACCTTGATTGCCTTGTGATGAATTAGTTGTTGTGATCACACCCAATGCCTATGGAACTAATGAACTAAATATATTCTGAGCTAACTTCACCAGGGCTTAAAAAAAGAAATTGGAAGAGGCTGGTGCAAATAATTTTAGTTTTGTTATTGTTGAATTTTTCAATTGAATTGTTGCTTATTTTATTTTCCTGATGGATTTAAATTTGCTTATTTCTCAATTTGCAGATTTTTTTATAATGAGGACTCCTACACCATTAAAAAGATTGATTTTTTTGGAGACCTTCTGACGCAAGTTCTTCAAGTGTTGCAGTCTTAGAGTGATAGATGACGTCCAGAGCTTTTATGTTTTTTTAGCTTAGAATGTTTAGATCATAAAGTTGCTTGTATTGTTCTAATGGTTAGCTTTAGAAGCATTAGCTTTTAGGGTTGTAGTTTAGAATAGTTGTGGACTTGACTATTTGTTTATGAAATGATGATCTTCAATTTAAATTCTGTTACTGACTTTTGGTTTGTTGAAATACTATTGCCTATCATTGTATGTTAAATTATAGGTTAGTTTCCAACAAGAAAGAAATTCAATATTTTTTTTTTAAAAACACTTTCACTACAAAAAGAAAAAGTGATTTGCTACGGAATTTTTATTTAGCGACGGAACAAATTCCGTCGCTAATTCTTCTGTCACTGATTGGATTAGTAATGAAATTGAAATTCTGTCGCTAATTAGTTATGAATTACTGATAGAATTTTTCTATCACTAATTAATGATGGCAATTTTCCGTTACTAATTGCTGACATAAAATTTCTGTCATAATTGCTCATCTAATTTTTGAAAAAAAATTTGAAAATGCCACGTGGCGTTTCTGCTAGTCACCATCTCATCACCAATGACGACTACTAGCTGCCTTCACGTCACTTGCACCTCACCTTTGCCACCATATGTGTGTTGCCACCACATAAAAATAATTCCTTCTCAAAGGGATTTCTTCATGGCTCGAACCTCAGATCTCTTGTTTGTATGTGTGCGCGGCTTTATCAGTTGAGCTATAATGAACATACTGACTTATTATGCAAAATTAAATATATATAATATTCTTTTATACAAATAGTTATATATGCATATATATATTATTAAAAACTAAAAATAAACTATATGGTAATTTTAATCATAACTATTTTAATGACAATAATTTTTAAATATTTGTTTTACTATTTATTTTATAAAGTTTTATTTTTTAAAAAATATTTAAAATATAATTTTAATTTCCAATGACATTAATTTTGAATTTTAAATCATAAATAATTTTTTTCATAAATATGTTTTTTAAATTTAATTTTTTAATTAACATTGATAAGATAAATATATATATGTATTATATTACATTATATTATATTATCTATATTTGTTTTATATATTTGATGAACACTATTTATAATGAGTAAAAACATTTTGTTATTCAAAAAATAGCTACTATAATAAAATCCAATAAATTATTCCATATAAAAAAATTAAATAATTTGAATAGATTATGATTAACAACATTTTTCTACTTATATATGTATTCTATATAATTTATTTTCTTAAAATCCTTTGTATATACCATCTGTTTTTGCATTAAAGTCCAAAATCAATCCATATTGTGGGTATTAACTATATCATAATTAAATTTTATTGTTTAATGATTAAAATTCAAAATTAATTTCAATATTAGTTTGATTTATAATCATAAACTGAGGTGTTCATATAAATTCATTTTTTGGTTTTGAATTTTTATCATATATATTACATCTTTCAATATATTGTATATGCGATAAAATTTTTTTTTCTTATATTAGTTTGTATAACAAAGTTATTAGTACTCTTATTATATTTTTAATTATTATTAACAATTAAAAGGAATTGATTTTAATGATATGTAAACAGGTTTTCTAAACCATTGTTTTCTTATTCTTAGTATGTATCTAATGTTAGATTTAAGGTTTTGATGATAACAAATTTAGAAGTTTTTGGTTTAGTAAGTTGATCGATCACCTGATCGATCAAAGGATAATCGATCACATGACAGATAAAATATTTCTGTGTATAAAGGTAACTTAACAGTAAAGTTAATCAATAACTTGCTACATAAATATGATTTTATGTGTTGATCGATCAGTTTATCTATCAAGGTTAACATTGTTTAGTATACAAATATACAGAAAATTATTGATCAATTGATCGATAATTTGATGATCGATCACCTAACTGATAAATGGACACAATTCTAGTAAGCTTTTATCGATCACCTTATCGATCAATGTGTTATTGATGAGAAGATAGATAAATGATAAAACTCTTCTTTTTAAGTTGAATTCTATTTCATTCACCATTTATCGTTCACCTTTTTTATCAAACATTTATCGATAACCTGCTCTATCATTGCATAATAACCTAATGGATTATCGATATATTTTGTTTAGGTGTGTTAACAGGCTCTTTTATCGATCACTTGATCGATTAGTGGTTTATCGATCATCACTATCTCATTGCACTAAACTATTTTAAGTCTCTTTTGGATCACCTGATCGATCATTAGTTTATTGATGAAATGATCGATCATCCAATTTTCTGAAACTTCTGTTTTCACATAACGTGATTGATCAAACTCTTTTTTGGCCTTTTAAACTAAGTTTTTCTAACACTATTTTATCGATCGCTTAATCGATTAAGCTTTAATTGATTATTTACTCTATCATCAAATATTCGGTAACTTATTTGAGGAAACTTGTTTTAAACCTTTTATCAATTAGTTTATCTATTATTCATTTATTGATAAAGTGTTCGATCAACGATGTTCAAAATCTATTTCCCTTATACTTAGCTTTATCGATAATATGATCGATCAAACAGTTTTTGATTACTTGTTTGATCATTGTAGAAGTTCATTTCATAACAAGATTTTCACGATGATTTCAAAATCTCTCATATTTTTATTTTTAAACTTTTCTTAGCCTTCCTTTTACACATAATTCTCTTTGAAAGGATTCAAAAGCATAGGTGAATTTAAAAGCTTTAATCTTGAAATATCTCGTTTGAAGTCATGGTATTCATTTCTCATTGTTTATCGATCACTTCTTCAATCATCTGTTAATCCATAAGCTTATCAATAAAAGTACATATACGTGACTAAAGTTCTCTTTGTATTTAATCGAAAACTTGATAGATCAACTACTTATCGATCAGGACTTCGATCAAGTATGTACAGGTTGTATTTAAGTATCTGATGATTGATTCATTGCACTTCTAAATGTTATATAACTATCAAAGATCATCATTTGTTCAGTTATTTTTACAAGTTTCCTTCTAAAAGAGAACTAACTTGTTTCAAGTATTGTTACAGATTACAAAGCAAGCTCAACGGTCATTTAGTAGCCTATAACTTGTCATGTTAGAAACATTAACGGCGAACTACCGTTGCAACTGCTGAACACACGCAACCGAACTTACAATGGCTAAAAGCTCTTCAGTCTAATGGTTAATCAAACCTCTCTAACTATAAAAGGCACGAAGGGCATTGAATAAAGTATTGGATACGCGAGTTACCTTCCATTGAAATATTTACTGTTGCATTCAATACTTTGTTTTAACCAAGCTTCAGTGTTTGTTACTCATTTACTCTGTAAGAAAGTTTGATATATCTTTTACTTATTTTTTGAGAGTAACTCAAGAGTGTAGACTCTTGAGAGGGATTGTAACCTTACAAATAGTAAGGGGGAGTGATTGAGAAATCAATTACTGTACTGAGGCGCCAAGAGCCCGTTTAATTTTGGGAACATAGTGGAAATCTCAGAGGTGTTCTGAGGATTGGATGTAGGTCAAGTGGTTGAGACTGAACTAGTATAAATCTTGTGTCTTCGCTCTGCAGTGAAATCCTTCTAACTCAACATTCTCTATTTTATTTACAGCACTATTTCAATACGTTAAAATTTTTATAACTCACCCAATTCACCCCTCTTGGGTGAAACTACCACTAACATCTAATGATGACATGAATGATGACAATACTTTTGTTAACATCAACTCCACAAATATATCAATTTATTTTACAATTAAAAATATATTTAAATTATTATATTCTTAATTATGTTATTATATAAAGTTTTGTAAGGTTATGATCTAAAATAATGAAATTTAAAATTAGTGATGGATTACCGACAAAATAGCGATAGAATAGAATTAGTGACAGCATTAGTGACAGAAACTTCTGTGCCAAACAATTTAGCAAAAAAAAAATTTTCTTAGCCGATTCCGTCGCTAAAAATTTTATAATTAAAATTAGCAATGGAAATTTTTTACGGAAAACATTTCGTCGCTAAATATGTATTGAAAGATTTTTTAACAAAATTAGTGATGAAATTTGGTGACGAACAAAAATTTCATCGTTGAAAATTTTTTGTCTCTAATACGTCGCTAAATTTAGCTACAGAATTTTCGTCGGTAATCTGTCAGAAATTAGCGACAGAATAATTTTTTGTCGCTAATTCCGTTAATAATAAGTTGTTTTTTTATAGTGTTTTTACTTTTGTTTTCTGAAAACAGAAGTAAAAAGTAGCACTTTTCACTTCTGTTCTTTCGAGAACAAAAGTAGAAAGTCACCCTATTTATTTCTGTTTTAGGAAAGATAGAAGAGAGAAATGGTACTTTTCTCATCTGTTTTGACAAAAAAGAAGTAAATATGTGACTTTTTATTTCTATGTATAACAGACTTGAAATATGCCATTTTTCTCCTTTGTTCAAAATAGAAGTAAAAAGTGGGGTATTTATTATGCCCCCTTCTTTTTATGTCCCCCAAAAAACAAAACTAAAAGTCCTCCAAAACAGAAGTAAAAAGTCTATGTTGTAGTAGTATATGTACACACCAGAAGCATTACCTGTCAAATATAGGAGATCATCTTGTCTAAAGAAAAAAAATAGGAGTCTTCAAGATAGTGTCAACAGTCCAAGAAGAATATAGGCTCTTTACTAAAGGGATGTTCTATTGATAAGGATTACAATTAAAAGGAGGATGCAATATAAGATATGCAACTTTAAGCAAGTTCATTGTTAGTGTAGCTCTTGAATGCATAGGTTACTAAAGATGGTGGTTTAAAGGAACTTGAGGGCCAAAACCTATTTGCCAATTCAAATTGCCAACACTTAAATCTGAATTTTCTAATATGCCTTTCCAAATCAAAGATGAATTATATGGTTTTAGTAAAAGAGGATTCTAGCATATATTGATATATTTAACTTTAGAGTCTGAGCCAGCAGTGATGAGGGTTGAGAAGAAATGATTTGGAAATTAATTTTGAATTACATAGAGGTTGAGTCAATTTTATAAAAATATAGTTATTCTTATATTTTTAAATTTAATAAAATTTATTTGAATGATTCTTACAACATGGGTACATCTTCCAAAAGATTTTGAAATATTAGTTTGACCTTTTATGAGGAACTAGTTCTTCTTATTAGACCCAACTTATAGACCCAACTTATAGTATCTTCTTTTTTATTTTTAAAATTTACATG